AGTCGGGAATGACTAGCACATATGTGTGAGGGAAACCTTTATGTTCATCAATGCTCAGTGAAAACCAATTCAGCAAAGAGTACAAGGAAAATGCTTTTATATATTTATATATACACACTTTTATTTAGAAATCGACAGCCACTTACGAAAGGCGATGCCATCTCCGGCAAACCTGGGAAACTTTCAGTAAATCAGTCAAGTTTAGACAGGAAAAGATTCCCAACAGCAATTCATCTGGCAAAGTATCCCAAGAAATACCTTTTGGGGAGGAAAGGAAAGAATTATTATGAAGGTTCAACTGAGTGTTTTTCAAGCTTGATGCTTCAAGCTTCAAGATGTGCGGACTTCCATATTCTGGAGTGGAATTCTGAAAAATGACATCCACATATGTTAAAAGTGCCAAGGCTAAGAATGCTTTAACTGGTTCATTGGCTGGTAACCAAATTTTTCCAGCATCTTTTGCACTGGAAATGCAGCTGGACTTTTCCAACTCATGGAGAACACTGTATTTCCTCCTTTCAGCAAAGTATGTACTTGGCACATAATTGTCTGAGGTTGTGTGAGTCATTCTACTCCTAAAAACGATGGATAAGAAATTTGAACCACCACTAATGATGCTCATTTCCATCTTAACACAGATTCCACAAAACAATAATAAGAAGCCCACGAGATTGGTGGTGTCCTGACTGGAGGAAATATAGGAGTGGAAAAGGAATAATTTATTCACAACTAGGGAGATACACCTGGTGGGACACAGAAGAAGGGGTCTTCTCCGTGGTGGCTCCCTCTCTCTGGAACATCATTTCCACAGAGATTAGAATGGCCCCCACTCTTAACACTCTTCTGGAAGGCGCTGAAGACCTGGTTCTGCCAGTGGGCCTGGGGATCCCAGAGTGGGATGGAGCCCATTAAATGGCTCATATGATGTGTTGTCATGGGGGGAGGGGGGGGCTATTTTATTTTATTATATATGATTTTCTCTTATTAGTTTTACTGTTTTTATATGATGTTTTTATATTCTTGTAAGCCACCTTGAGTCGCCATGTGTGAATAGGAGGCAATATAAATCTCGTAAA